AAGCGATTGTTAGTTATCCTTTAAAAAGTAGCGCGCTGTGTTTCGATCCGGTTAAAAGTGTTTGACGAATTTAGATTTTGCTAATGTCACATTAGAAATGGTTAGTGAATTGCAACGCTTCTAAACTTGGTGAATATTCAAAGATAATTGATATTCCGAAATAGAAAAAAAAATAATTTAAACGTGACAGAAAAATTAGAGGCAAATTTACAAAAAAAGACCATTTATATTCTCTATCGAATTTCAGAAACACGCGTGTCAGGCTTCATTCATTTCAGGCAGATAATTTTCCCCGCGTCAAATGCAGACGTTGAGATTTCGGGACCATAAATTATATCAAATTTCCGCCAATTATTGTCACGTAGAAACTTAATGTAGCCTTCGAGTATTTTACGTCTACGGATTTACTAATTTACATAGGCGCACGATTTCCTTGCATCCACATATACAGGTACATTCATAAGTATGAAACGTGTAAATATTTCAGAAACATATTAAAACATGGTAGAAGAGATTATCTATCTATCTATCTATCTATCTATCTATCTGTGTATTTAGGCAGCAATTCTTCTTTCATGCACATTTCATTAAATACGACAGACAAGGTGTTTTTGTTTAGTTTTACACAAATTCTCATGCGATCTAATAATTTTTTTTCTTTTCGGACGATAAATTATATAAAAACTGTCCGAATGTTTTTTTCATCCGAGCGCTTTCGGCTATACATTTAGCCATTTTCAAGTATATGTAGAGCCGAAAGCGCTTGGATAAAAAAAACATTCGTACAGTTTTTATATAATTTATCATCTGAAAATAAAAGAATTATTAGATCGCATGAAAAATTTGTTGCAGTTTTTGTGTATGTTATGTACTAGTGAGCCAGTCCAAATGACTTGACTCATTTTATAGTCCACCAATAGAAGGTAAACCAATCAGAAGACGTAGAATATTCAATCCGTCGTGTATAAAGGTGGCCAAGTTGTATACTCTATCCGAATGTCCATCCAGTGACAGCTTGTCAGGCGAAGAGGAACAGAGGGGGAGAACTACTGAACTACGCTCTGCTACTTTACCGGGATATCCACTGCTAATCTGAACTACGCTTCCCTACTGTCTTCGATATATTTCACTGCTAACCTCTGGATTCTATATTCAAAGACTGTCATGATGAACAACAAAATTGTATAAAAAACTAGATAAAAGCACCTTGTTTGCCGTATTCAATAAAATCTTAACATTCCACTATATATATATATATATATATATATATATATATATATATATATATATATATATAGTGGAATGTTAAGATTTTTGTTAGTTCTTATTTCAAAATATACGCATGAGAAATGCTTTAATAATAAATCCAGCCAAAACAAGATTATTACAATATCTTGATATTTCTCATCGACTTACACAGACGACAACAGACCTCCCCCCCGACGCACATATACATACACGGAATATAAAATCCAACTAAATATATAATTATTGCAAATGTGACACCATTTAGGGTTGCTAGAAAGAAAGAAAAAAAAAAGAAAAGTCGAGAATTAAATTTAGGTGATAAGAAGCCATCACGAAAAGGACACTAAGCGATGTTATTTTTCTAACAAAGAAAAGTGGTAAAATTTTTATTTCCATTGTCGAAAAAGGAAGATACTGGATTTAATCTGATTTATGTTACGGGGCGGAGAATGAGATATGGCCAATCTGCCCATGGCAATGGTGGATTTTCCAGGTTGATCGGATGACCTGTGAAACAGAATTCTAAAGAGATAAAAATTAATTAAACACCCGCTGACCGAAAAACAAAATGTCGCTGGACCACACAGAGTTACAAAAACAAAAGACTAAACCATTAGTTATTTGCGGAAGGGTCGTTTGGAAAAAGCATCTGTTTATTGTCGGGACTAGATATGATAAGAAATTTATTTTATCGGGACGAAAAGTTGGCTGTGTTTTGTCAGATGACCACCCACTTGATAATTGGCGAAAATCTCGTTGACGAATTCCATATGAAATTAGATTGCGATTAAGGGACCACACAACGAAAGAAAAAGAAAAGAAAAAAAAGGAGATAATTTTTTTCTTTGAGCAAGATTTTTTAAAGCGAGGCTAGTCTGGCCACACCCACGCCGCTGAACGCCCATTGGCTGAATGGGAGCATGAGCGTTAGGCGGAGGTAATCATGTGAAGAAGGAGGGGAGGCCTGTTGCACCCCCACCCCTGAAGGGATAGGTGTGAGATGCCACTGTGAGAGAGAGGGGAAACCCGTTGACACCTTCTCAGGGCATGGTGAGATACCAATATGAGAACAGAAGAAGGTGGGAAGACGGAAGACTTCCAAAAATGGAAAATAATAAAATTTTCCCAACCGAAAAAAAAAATAGTGGATTGTGGGTTTGGAATCATCAAGGAACCTCAAACCCCGACAAGGCCACCCCGGTTTTGGTCGGCGTCCATATAAGCAGAGTCGCAGCGAGTGAAAAGCAGTTAAGTTCAGTTCCAGTTGGAGTTGGCAATTGGCAGAGACAGAGTTAATAGCCTCGCAGATAGCTGACTTGAAAGATTCCAGGAATCACGACCTCAACTTCTAGTTAAGAACAAATAAATTTTTGAAGAACGACTTAGACTCATACCACCAAAACAAGTTTTACGAATACCACCTGAAGATACACCAAGAACCAGTTTCTTAAAGAACAAACAACTTAAGATGTTAAGACTCGCCTAACAAACACAAAGTGTCACGAATCCATATAGCGGGTTGGAAAGAAGACGCAGTCCTGTATTCAGCAACCATATATAAAATATTGTTATCCTTTTTTAACACATTTGAACTTTTCGGGTTATTATTTTCTTTTCTTTTACATATACTTGTGCGATATCACCCTTGTTCGAACTCGACTTGCATTACGGCCCGGCGACTGATTGATTTCGTCTGCCTAAGATCAATTCACAACGTGGGTAAGTTGGAAATCAAAGCAGTTACTTCGGTAACCAGACGTTGGAGGTGAGCTGGGAAAGACAAGGCTGATACTGAATCTAACCAGATTCCCATCCGAATCACCAAAAGGTTAGAACGTCACATTTAGTGCTGCGACCAATACCAAGCCAGTTGGTCGTCACAGGACAGGATAGCACGACGGACGCAGCCAGGCAGACGTCACATTTGGCGCAGCGACACCCGGGGGGGGGACGTCACACAACATATCACGACATTTCAGTAACATATCGTTACATTTCACCGACATATACGAAGTTGACATCTGTAGAAATTCCTCACGCAAACGCTGATACACTTACATCAATTAACAATACCGTCTAACATATACCTAGACACACATGCGTTTCTTTACATACCCACTCTTACATTATCACACATTTTAACGTCCAAAATGTTCCTCACACATATTTATATATTATCTATTGCGTTAATGCACGTATCTAACCAATAATAACTAAGAATCTTAACATATCAGTGCTCTGTGTCCCTTTGCTTCTTTTCATTTTTATTCTCGATATCTGACGAAGCTTTAATAAAATTGAAACATGTTAGATTGAGATTCGTTTCCTACTTGTTCTTCATGTTATTTTGTCCTTTTGTCGGATTCCCATCCATATCTGATATACATTTAATATTCAACTCATATATATATATATATATATATTATATACGTGCAGTACTCACTGGAAAACGCTCAATATCTGTGATAGACCTAACATATTCAGTTGTATGGACATGATTTTGTGACCCTGGGTTTCACGCTTTTGCGAATATCAGACAAAATGATTTATGAAGTAATTGCAGTACTGATAATGAAAATATAATAGTAGTCGTTAGTTATCATAATTAAGATTGTCATTAAAGTCCACAGCTTTTTGTCTATTATACCTTTATTTTCATTGTCATTAAGGCTAAATTTACTGTTAACATATCAGTAATTATTATTAACATATTAATAATAATTAATATCACAGTTATCATCACTATCATCATAATCACAATCGTCAATAATACACAAGCAGTCAGCATAAAAAATACAGACATCATCATCACCATGCCCACAAACAGAATCCAGCTTAACCAAAGTGGTGTGAGATACCCAGACCAATAGGAATATATGTGCGTGTCTATATGTGTGTATGTGTGTGTGAGGAAGTGTAAGTTTGTCTGATGACCCAGACGGTAGATCTGAAAAGCGTCAAGAACACTACTACCCGCTCCTTGTTGAAAGGAACATCGCTAGACATAAAAAGCTAAGGCCCCGACATCGAAATAGAATTACAATTGCGTATGCATGTATGCCCGAACGCATAGATGCGTATCTGCACCTGGCCTCGTATTGTTTATAAGGGTGCGTTTGTGTGAAGTAAAATGCGTAAACATGTATGTATGTGTGTCTATATGTATGAGAGTGCCATCCTGAACAAGCAGTTATGGAAAGTACCCCAATGCGACCAACCATAGTCAAACAAGCATAAATAGAACCAATTAAAAAAAAAGAATCAACCAGTTTGTCTGTTGATCTCAAAAGCGTGGCGTAAAATCCACGCTCACTCATATTCATACAACTGAATATATATATATATATATATATATATATATATATATATATATATATATATATATTTAGACGTTATTTTATAAATGGATACTCATTTAATCCATTTCCTATATATATATATATATATATATATATGAAGAAAAATATATACGGAAAAAACAAACAAAAATCCTTATATGCAATTATGCTGTTTTAATGTTAATATGTCAACGTCGGACGTTTCGGTCTAATAAACAATCTTCAGGACATATTATCAATTCAACATGACAAAGACTGTACATAAGAACATATATGTATGTATGTATGTATCTGTGTGAGTGTGTGTGTGTCGGTACAGATATATAAAATGACAGTTTCTGGGAAAAAGTAGCTAAAAATAAAATCGTATACAAAGTAGAAAACAGATCACTAGTTATAAAAAGTACCAATCAATGCTGGTTTGAGTAAATGTATTTGATTTTGTAACAATATTTAACGAATAGGTTAAATAAATCCGGTGAGAAACGCATACTTGTTTTTTTTTTTATACAACGTGATATCTATCCTCGTGTATGGCAGTGAGTGGTGGACGTGTTCTCCTCAAAGAAGAAGAGCGAGACTTGAAGCAGCAGAAATGCGGTTCTACAGAAGAATGCAGACGATATCTTTGACCGAACAGAAAATGGAAACAAAAAGGAAACTAATACTTAACATCACATCAGGAAAAGGCAGTTGATCTTTCTAGGGAGGAGGGCTTGTAAAAATTGATACTTACAAGACAGATTGAAAGTAAGAGGGACAAAATAAAACAACGTGTAATATACTTAGTGAGCTTGGCCTAAATGGATATCGAAACAGGGTTTGGGAGTAATAACAGAAAGAAAAAGTTTGTTAAAAGCTACAAGGAACAGGAAGTTGTGGAGAGCTATGATCGCCTACTTCCTGACACATAAAGAAGAAGAAAGTTTACCCAATGCAAGCCCCTAGAGAGGTTACGAAGAAAAATAACAGTAAATCCTAGACTTAAAGAGATCAAGAATTAACTAGAAAAACATCCTGCCCGGAATCAGTTCTACAGAGCAGTAGTTCTTAAGAAGAAGCTGTCAGAATAGAACTTACTTTTTAGAAATGGAATATGAAGGAAATCAAGGGGGGGTTCCTTCTTGTATATTTGGCATGGCGGGTTCCAGTTGTAAAGGTCAATGTTGGTGGAACCACGTGCCATGGAAATAGCGATAGAATAGCGAGAGACACGCCAAGTTTCGTCTGTGGGGAAGAGGTTATACAAGGCTGCAAAAACGTTTTTGAACTCTATTAAGACATGCAAGTGATGACTGGTCGTATCCAGTTCAGATATGGCACCACTACACTATTTTTGTTCTGATGCCTCTTTTACAGATAGAGTATAGCAGATTAGGGACAGATACTCACTGGAACTGTAAACGAACCGACCATATTTTCAGTATCTTTAGAAATAGATCGAATATATGAGTTACTATTAAGGTCTGAGGTGAGATTTGTTTCAAAAGACGTCTAAGATGAGGAGCCTTCTTGGGGGAACACCTTTCCATCATGATAAGTGAAGGTTATGGTTCTGCTCGGTGATAGTGGAATAATTTGGTGTTGGATGTATAAGAAGTCAGTCCTTATTATATTGACGCACCATGGTCAATCAGAAGAGAACTGAGTTGCTAGGTTCTGATCATGTGCACCTAGAAATTATTGTAGCATCTGCAGATCATTAATATAGGACAGAAAAAGGGTAATACCGTGTGTTGTCATGGAATGTCCCACTCTCCCTATCACCTATGTGGACTGACTATATCAGTAGCTATATATAGTGAGTACAGGATATACCTGGGGGCTTTCTTCGAGAATTACTAGCCTGTCACCCGATTCCCTGTCTTTCAGTAGTGTATTCTCATTTACAATAAACTTCTCTTTCGTCTACGCGTGTGTTGCCGTTCCTTCACTCGAGTACTACTTTTATCTGTTTGTAACCTCTTTAAGGCTACAACACCGAGGAAAGAGCCCTAAGGAACGTCGGCATTGATTTTATGGACTGTCCGTTAACAGCGACTTACCTGTTAGGAAGAACTTAATAAATGAGAAATATCTTCCAGAGATTCCATTGCTGGAGAGTTTATGCAGCAATCCCTGATGCCTTGCCAAAGGCTTTTGATATATTTAGGGCGATGATCCTCATCATCAATTTATTTCCTTGTGCCAGGCTCAGGAGGTTGTTTAACAACATACTGTTCTATTTTTCTATTTTAGTTTCTTTACTCAATTCTTTTTCTATCCGCTTTTTATCGGTTTGTTCAGAGTAAATGTTGCAATTTATTTTAATGTCGTTAACATTTTGATAAAAATTTATTTGAAGTAGAGCGGTAGTGACTTGAAGACTTTAGATCAGAGGTCATAATTACTCTAGGCCTTTTCCATGCCCACCAATAGTGAGTTCAAAAGCTTCAAATTTTTACTGCTTAGATGCATGAAACCACAGTTTTCAAGGTTAAATCTCGAAAGTTTCGTGTCATTGACCAGGAGTATAATGCATCGAGATAGTCCTGAAAAGTGCGTTGAACATGTAAAGAGTTTGATGTTTGCAACTAACACAAACATTGATATTATCGGCGCATTTCTTTATATGAGGATTTCTCTAGCAATCATCCAAATGCTCAAGAGAAGAAGTAAAATGAAGAGGTCGAAGGCCCCACCAGAAGAGGCCCAAGGCCCCACCAGAAGAGGTCAAATGTTCCACCAGAAAAGGTTCAAGGTCTCACCAGAAGAGGTCGAAGGTCCCAGCAGAAGAGGTCAAAGGTCCCACCAGAAAAGGTTCAAGGTCTCATTAGAAGAGGTCCAAGGCACTACCAGAAGAGGTCCAAGGTCCCACCAGAAGAGGTCAAATGTCCCACCAGAAGAGGTCCAAGGCCCCACCAGAAGAGCTCCAAGGCCCCACCAGAAGAGGTCCAAGGTTCCACCAGAAGAGGTCCAGGGCCCCACCAGAAGAGGCCAAATGTTCCACCAGAAAAGGTTCAAGGTCTCACCAGAAGGGGTCGAAGGCCCCACCAGAAGAGGTCAAAGGTCCCACCAGAAAAGGTTCAAGGTCTCACCAGAAGAGGTCCAAGGCCCACCAGAAGAGGTCAAAGGTCTCACCATAAGAGGTCGAAGGCCCCACCAGAAGGGTCAAAGGTCCACCAGAAAGGTTCAAGGTTCACCAGAAGAGTCCCCCACCAGAAGAGGCCAGAAAAAGGTTCATGGTCTCACCAGAAGAGGTCAAGGCACCACTAGAAAAGGTCAAGGTCCCACCAGAAAAGGTTCATGGTCTCCTGGGAATAGGTCCCCACCAGAAAAAAGTTCAGGTCTCACCAGAAGGGTCCCCCACCAGAAGAGGTCAAATGTCCCACCAGAAAAAAAGTTCAAAGTCACACCAGAAGAGGTCGAAGGCCCCACCAGAAGGTCAGGCCCCACCAGAAGAGGTCAAATGTTCCACCAGAAAAAGTTCAAAAGTCCACGTCAAGGCCCCAAAGGTCAAAAGGTCCAAGGTTCAAGGTCTCACCAGAAAACCACCAGAAGTCAAGGTTCCACTAGAAGAGGTCCCACCCAGAAAAAAAGTTCAGGTCTCACCAGAAGGGTCAAAGGCCCCACCAGAAGAGTCAAATGTCCCACCAGAAAAAAGTTCAAGGTCACACCAGAAGGTCTCACCAGAGGAGGTCCAAGGTCCCAACAGAAGAGGTTCCAAGAAAAGGTTCCTCACCAGAAGACGTCAGAAAACCCCACCAGGAGATGTCAAGGTCCCAACAGAAGAGGTCAAATGTTCCACCAGAAAAAGTTCAAGGTCTCACCAGAAGACGTCGAAGGCCCCTGGGAGATGTCCAAGGTCCCAACAGAGGGTCAAAGGTCCCACCAGAAGAGGTCCAAGGTCCCACCAGAAGAGGTCAAATGTCCCACCAGAAAAAGGTCTCACCAGAAGAGGTCCAAGGCCCACCAGAAGAGGTCAAAGGTCTCACCAGAAGAGGTCGAAGGCCCCACCAGAAGAGGTCAAAGGTCCCACCAGAAAAGGTTCAAGGTTTCACCAGAAGAGGTCGAAGGCCCCACCAGAAAGGTCAAAGTGTTTACCACCAAAAAGGTTCATGGTCTCACCAGAAGAGGTCCAAGGCCCACCAGAAGAGGTCAAGGTCTCACCAGAAGAGGTCCCCCCAAGAAGAGTCAAAAGGTCCCACCAGAAAAGGTTCAGGTTTCACCAGAAGAGGTCGAAGGCCCCACCAGAAGAGGACAAAGGTCCCACCAGAAAAGGTTCATGGTCTCACCAGAAGAGGTCCAAGGCACCACTAGAAAAGGTCAAAGGTCCCACCAGAAAAGGTTCATGGTCTCACCAGAATAGGTCAAATGTCCCACCAGAAAAAAGTTCAAGGTCACACCAGAAGAGGTCGAAGGCCCCACCAGGAGAGGTCCAAGGCCCCACCAGAAGAGGTCAAATGTTCCACCAGAAAAAGTTCAAGGTCTAACCAGAAGACGTCGAAGGCCCCAGCAGAAGAGGTCAAAGGTCCCACCAGAAAAGGTTCAAGGTCTCACCAGAAGAGGTCCAAGGCACCACCAGAAGAGGTCCAAGGTTCCACTAGAAGAGGTCCAAGGTCTCACCAGAAGAGGTCAAATGTCCCACCAGAAAAAAGTTCAAGGTCTCACCAGAAGAGGTCGAAGGCCCCACCAGAAGAGGTCAAATGTCCCACCAGAAAAAAGTTCAAGGTCACACCAGAAGAGGTCGAAGGCCCCACGAGGAGATGTCCAAGGTCCCAACAGAAGAGGTCAAATGTTCCACCAGAAAAGGTTCAAGGTCTCACCAGAAGACGTCGAAGGCCCCACCAGGAGATGTCCAAGGTCCCAACAGAAGAGGTCAAATGTTCCACCAGAAAAGGTTCAAGGTCTCACCAGAAGACGTCGAAGGCCCCACCAGGAGATGTCCAAGGTCCCAACAGAAGAGGTCAAAGGTCCCACCAGAAGAGGTCCAAGGTCCCACCAGAAGAGGTCAAATGTCCCACCAGAAAAGGTTCAAGGTCTCACCAGAAGAGGTCCAAGGCACCACCAGAAGTGGTCCAAGGTTCCACTAGAAGAGGTCCAAGGTCTCACCAGAAGAGGTCAAATGTCCCACCAGAAAAGGTTCAAGGTCTCACCAGAAGAGGTCCAAGGCCCCACCAGAAGAGGTCGAAGGTTCCACCAGAAGAGGTCCAAGGTCCCACCAGAAGAGGTCAAATGTCCCACCAGAAAAGGTTCAAGGTCTCACCAGAAGTGGTCGAAGGCCCCACCAGAAGAGGTCAAAGGTCCCACCAGAAAAGGTTCAAGGTCTCACCAGAAGAGGTCCAAGGAACCACCAGAAGAGGTCCAAGGTCCCACCAGAAGAGGTCAAATGTTCCACCAGAAAAGTTTCAAGGTCTCACCAGAAGAGGTCGAAGGCCCCACCAGAAGAGGTCAAAGGTCCCACCAGAAAAGGTTCAAGGTCTCACCAGAAGAGGTCCAAGGCACCACCAGAAGAGGTCCAATGTTCTACCAGACGAGGTCAAAGGTCCCACCAGTAAAGGTTCAAGGTCTCACCAGAAGAGGTCTAATGCCTCACCAGAAGAGGTCTAAGGTGCAAGTAGTTACCTTGTGGGATGCCATTAGTTACAGACTTCCAACGTAAGATGTCGCTCTTCTCATAGTAATACATTGGAGTCTCCTCTCTAGAAAAGATATTGTTATGAGGTACTGAATCAAACCCTTTGGAGAATCAGTAAATATGATAATGACGCCCTTTTGTCTAACTCTCTTTCCAAAAATCCGTAAAAATCGACGAGAGCAGTATTGAACGAACATTTTGGCAGAAAACGGGGTTATAGACAAGTAAATCAGTTTGTAAACAGCGAAAAATTCGAATTTAAAAAAAAAATCATTTAACCCCCAAGCAAGGCAATAAATTCACTAAGACACAACGGGCTTACTGAATGTTAGAGAATAATAGAAAACATTAAGGAGAGAGAAAAATAAAAGAACAGGCATGAAGAACACAGAAGATGATGATTGTCGAGGAAAATAAGGCAAGGGTTTGTTGAGGTTGAAGGAAACACTTAACAGATTGTTCTCTTAACAATTAAGGGGGGGGCAGGCAGAGAAGGGAAAGAGACAGTGAGAAATAAAGAAGAGTAATGACGAATGCGTTCAATGCTACGGCGGGCGGTATACAACTTCCGGAAGAAAAATGTCTAACCGCAGCAAAGCGATTTTTGACAAAGGCTGACTACCGACTGCTGTTTTTCCTAACGCTTTTATTGATATGAGACAGTTGACAAAGACCCGGAGATGGACAAGTTGGAGAGAGGTTCGTATCTGGACATGCAAAGCTGTTCTGTCGCTAACGAAGAAAACCCGGATCTGACTGACTGCACGCGACTTTAGACGTCTTTTGCGTCTGTACTGACACGTGTTCATTACAGGTTGACATTGCATTTAAATTTTTTGAAGATCAAAGCTCACTGGAATGCATGGAGTCGAAAGAGATTTCTACAAGCGACAAATCCGAGAGAAGAAACTGTTAGCATATAACTTACGGTTTCATATAGCAATTTCAACTGTAAAATTGTGAGACCTTGCAGCCAATCATGTACTGCCCTTAATTTCATAAAGTCTATGTACCCTATTTCCGTTCTAATGTTACTTTCTATATATTTTACAGGCCGCATATGTAAAACTTACTGCAAGACATAGTTGTTGACACTTTGTTTTTGTCTCTCTTGTTTTTCATTCCGTTGCCAAACACCGTGCGTTTAAAGAAACATTAACAATGTTCACATTTCTTTGCGTAATTGCATCACACAAAAACAACTGGGAAGTGACAGTGATTGAAAGTCTATTTCTTTAATCGTAACTTCCCACTTTACATTTCTTTGTTTCAATGACATGAATTATGTAAGCATCATACACAGAAAAATAATCTGGCATTTTGAACAATGGCGTCGTGCAAAAGTCAGAGACGGCATTCAAGAGAAGACTGCCAAAAACATATTTGGAAAATCTAACTAATATTTGATCCTCCACTTTGAAAAGAAACTTTCGACATTATAATAATTTATTGTGTATGTAGTATTAAAACGAAGAATTCAATCTTAATTGTTGACGGCGAAGTTTCTGATGCCGTTTCTCATAATAAAACCAGAAAAGGATTCATCCCCCTTTTCAAATCAGATGGGGGATTATTCTATAAAGGGGTGCGGTTTCAAATTCTGTCGGAGGGCACATATTTTTATTAAATTTTCTCGATTGCGCAAGACAGTAGAAGAAATAAAGAAAAAAATGGAGTGTCTACCCAAATATGGGTATCTATTAAAAATAACATTTAAAGTAATCAAAAGATGTGGGATAGGACCTTGCTTAACACTGAAGCTCTCCGTAGCCAACGGTTCACAGCACGCTGGATTGGACGATGCTTTCTTCTGCAAAAGGAGACGAAGTTTCGAATCCTTTTCGGAGCGCACATAGGATGTGCAAGCCAGTAGACAAAATTAAAAGAGTTTAAAAACAGACTATATACTCAAATACAGATATCAACTAAAAATAACTTTTGAAGTGTATATCTATCTATCTATCTATCTATCTATCTATAAAATTGAGTATTTGGGCAGAAATTCCACTTTTATAATTTATAGAACGAAAAAATTTACATTGGTTCAACTGAAACACAATGGAAACATAGCATTTACAATCACAAACTAAGGTTACGTACAACGATGAATACAAAGAAATACTGCTTTCTCGCTAAATATTACTGGTAAATAAAAGATACCAAACATTACGTGGGAAATAATGCTTAGTATTAAATCTAACAATGATAAAGGTAAAATATGTAATCTTTGCCTTCCAAACAAATTCACCAATCTAAACAGTATAAATTACCCTAATTCACGAAACAAAATATTCATTATCTAAAATATTAAAAAAATATATATCTAAATTTACATTTTTCTTTTCGTTCGGATTTAGATGCTTGATTTTATATATTTACTTGTATATATAAGTATATTCCTATTTGTTCTTTTACTAATTTCTATTTTGTATGTATGTATATTTTCTCATTTCTTTTATATACGAGTGTCCGCTGATAACTTATAGGCTGACCAAGATATTCCCATGGAATGGGACCTAATGAGGTTTATTTATATTCAATATAATCCCCTTTGCGATCCACACACATCTTCCATCTGTGTTGTAGTTGCTTGGATCCTACTGGTGAAGAAGCTTTCATCCTGTTATTCGAAAAATCAAATATGACCTTTCACTGCGATCCACCAAATGTTTTTTTTCATGTTGGTTTAACCATCTCAGTAGTTGATCAATCAATTCAAAGACACAGTCTGAACAGCAGCAGCCATTGGACTTCCTTGTTATGATGAAACAAGACCCTTTCGTCAGTTTTATTGAATTTTGAAAGCCTTTCGTATCCTTAGTTATAGTACTCTCCATTTTATGAGGTCCTCTTTGTTACCGGAGGCATTTTTGTTAGCCGATATGGGATTATCTCTGTCCCTGACTCAAATTGTTTAACTCAACACTCATCCTGGATATACCTCAAACAATGACAGCTTTTCCCGTGATGTGATCAGCCTGGTGCGATTTTAATCAGGTGTCGGAAGATGTGACACCCACTGAACAGAAAACTTAGTTCATAGTGCAGAATATTCTCAACTCACAGGGTATGCTTAATAGCATTGACTATTTGATTTATAGTCAATCGCCTGTCATCCAATGGTTAATACGATCAATGTTTTCCTTGGTGGTGGCAGTTGATGGATGTCTATATCTTGGGTCATTTTCAAGAATCTTTATTCTCCTTCTAAATTCAGCTGCCACCTTTGGCATTGTTGGTAAAACCGTGTGTCATACCCTAATGTAGCAAATATGTCAGTAAAAATTTCCTTGAGGGCTAAGCCATTTTTCTGCAGATACTTGATAGCACTACAATGCTGAATTTTGTCCATTTTTCAGGAGAAGTCCCTACTAGTTATTTTTGAAGCCTTCTTTGAACAGTCAGATGTTAGTTTACCTGGAAAGAAACATGTCTGAATGTCAAACACCAGATGAAGGACAGATTTCACGCTGGGATCAAAAGTCGACCGATTTGGCATCAGTCAGAGACTCTACCCCTTAGTTATCAGCGCTTGGCAAAGAACGGGAATCTCTTAACGTATTATATACGTGATGTATATGAAGGCCAAATCAAGAGCCAGAGCGCTCAATTCATATCTGAAGAGCGATGCGTTATAAGCAGGCGCAGCCAATGTTCTAAAAATTCCCTTTCCCCATAGTGCTCAATCAGCGAACAAGAGAGAGAGAGAGAGAGAGAGAGAGAGAGAGAGAGAGAGAGAGAGAGAGAGAGAGAGAGCAAATAAAATATTCCATGGCAGGATAGGATAATAGTCATCGCCCTTCTCTTCGATTTCGATGCAAATATTTAAGGCAGAATGTTAAAGATTTAATGAATCATTTTTTTCCGTATGATTATTTACAAATTTTCTTTTCGTTCATGATTGCAGCGTGGTTGAATATTTGAATCTATAAAATTGTATAAAATACATTTATAAAGGACTGGAAATTTTAATTGGAAATCTCGGTGATTCAGGGTTTAAAAAAAGAACAGTTTTGTCCGATCGACTCAATTCAAGCACAACACGCATTTCGCTCGAATGAGGGAATAAAACGATAAAAAAAACAAGATCCTCAAAAATATTTTAGGATTGAAAGAAAGGAGAGTTGCATTAAATAATCCCTTAAAAAGGTAGAGAAATATAAACAAAAATAGATATGGTTCATCTTCATAAAAAAATCTCTTATTGACAGAAAGTGATGCGAAGCAAGCTGTTTTATTTTCTATTGACTGTTTAGATTTTATTCTTAACATTCTGAAATGATGACAAATGGGATTAATTAAAACTTTTCTAACGTCAACATTGTCACAATGAGTCTGAGTTGTTTCCTTTCCTCACACATTTCAGATTAGACAAGAAAAGAAAAAATAAAGCAAAATAATGAAAAACTGAGAGGAAGAGATAAATAAAGATGACAAAATATGTTTAATTTAGGCTGCGTGTATGTTTAAATGGTTTCAACAAGGTTTATTTCGAGAGTAAAACTCTATAATAATTGGTGTAATAATATGTATTACATAAATACTTCCTTGTGAGCATAGGTAAATATGTCTGTCACGGTTTATATATATCTCAGTCTTTTCGTATCTATCTATCTATCTATCTATCTATCTAGCTCAGCCTGTTCATATCTATCTATCTATATATCTGTCTATCTATTTCATTCTGTTAGCATCACTTTCTCTTTCTATCTGTCTCATATATCTTTGCATCTCATCTTTCTTTCCTCTATCTGTATATCTTTCTATTTCTTCTACTCATCTATTTATCTATCTTGATTAATTCAATCTTGTTCTCCTCTTTCCTTTGTGATCAGTCCCTAGTTTTTAAAAAGGCAGCTGCTTGGAATTTTTACACACACATAATAATAGCTACCGTAGTTTCTCCGCTTTTAGTAAAAAAAAAAAAAGAGAAATAAAAGGAATTTTTGTTTGACAGTAGACTGTTTTATTCTGGACGCTGGTAGCAGCCGGACAGAGGAGAAATACAAGAACGGACAAGATGATGAGACTTTCTTTTCATGTAAGCGTTTGTGCCGTAATATTAAACCAGGTTTTTTTGGTCAGGCTCTATGACCAAATATATTACACACACACACACACACACACACACACACACACACACACACACACACACACACACACATATATATATATATATATATAAATCTATATGTATAATTAGGCAGCATATTTTCATTCAAACATGTTTCATTGAATAATATAGACATTGTTTCTACTTATTTTTATACAAGTCCTTTCTAGTTGTCTAATCAGTCTATTAGTGTTTTGGAAAAAAAACTAAAAAAAACATTGCATATTAGTTTAAAAGTCCTCTGGGTGATTATATCTCTGACAAAAAAGTATATACATATGTTGGTTTGACAAACACAACATTATCAAGACATCTTACACTTGTTCTATTGTAAAACGTCTAAAAACAATACAGGAGAATACTTGTCAACAACACCAATATACTAGCACGAAAATAATATACAAAAAATTGAGGCCCTCTATATCAAAATCAACCAACCAACATTCAATAAATTTATTATGTATGTAGCAATAACATATTATGTGTATATAACATTTAATGACATTTTTTTTTACATTTCTTTCAATTTCGGTCAGCTCCTTTATATTATAAAACATTCCATAAATACAACATAAATTTTAAAATTCTAAAATAACTATTACAGACCGCGTTCGCGAGTGTTTTTTTTTAAATTGCTATAACAACGGAATTCAGATTTTATCGCAGTTACAATAAGACTGTCATTGTAATTTACGTCTGGAGATGATCTTAGAAAAGGTCGAAAGTACATGTGATAAAAAAAACATGGCGCTTTCCTTGATGAATTTCATCTCAACAACAAGAAGTTGATTAGATAACTGAAAAAGATCAGTATAAAAATAAGTAGACATAATATATCTATATTATCCAATGAAACATATTTGAGTATATATATATATATATATCATACCATCAAACTCTCTTGCTCCTCTCTTTATATATATATATATATATATATATATATATATATGTATGTGTGTGTGTGTGTGTGTGTGTGTGTGTATGTGTGTTGGATAACGATATATAAATGTTTATGCTATATTCCGTGTTAATAAGAATATATACTTGAAAAAGAAGGTGGATAAAATAAGTAAAGATTTATCGTAAAAGACAGTACAAGAATGAAGGTATCAGTTATGCACAAGGTCGTCGCAAGTCAATTCAGTAGTGAGTGCTACTACTGGAATGTTGGTAGTTCTCGCGTAAGTCTGAGTCGTACTCAACAGATCCCAGCTAGTAATATTTACCAACCTTCCCATGAGGTAGCATGTGGCACAAGGTTGAATTTAATGTGGGGCAATCCGAACCCGTAGTCTCGGCCAAAAATTCCCCGTAACCCGCATAAAGGGGTTCGGGTCTGTCTACCTCTCTGGACAAGACTCTGCCCTTCAGCATAGCCTCGCCCGGGTTCCTCTCTGTCCGAAGGCAGAGATTTCGACAACAGATAAGAGTTGAGTAAGTAGATTCCAGCACGAAAGAGAGATGCTGAGAAGTTTAAATTTAGAAAAATAATATTTTATGACCCTTTTGTTTATCCTCGAACACCCTAAATATTTTATATTCAATGCGAAACAAAAGGCTCATAAAATATCTATTAGGTCTATGGTAGCTATAAGTGAAAATAATTTATATTAACATAAAATTTGTCACAAATACATCTAAAACAATAAAAGTCTTAATCAATGCAAATTAAAAAAAAGACAAAACTTGAAGGAGGAATTTAGTCTATCAAAATGCAAAGATTGCCAGAAAGAATATATTGGAGAAACCTCAAGAAGTTTAAATAAAAGATTATATGAATGCAAGAGAGATATTTAAAAAAAAAATAAACGCATTATTTGTTCACCGTAAAGAGACTGACCACAATGTTGACATAAAAATGCTAGTCTAATTAAAAGAAAAAATAGTTCATTTAGACAAAAATGTTTAGAAAGAGCTTTAATCGCTCGTTCAGTCACAGCAAATCTATGTCAAGATCTTCTGCTATCACAGTGTGAGATATTTTATAGCAAAGAAGATGGAAACAAAAAGAAAAAGTATCTAAATGAAATTCGTTAGATTTTATATCTAAAACACATAAAGAAAATTATATTTTCTCAATTAAAAATTCCCAGCGTCTCTCGTTCGTGCGCTTGTGTAGTCACACACACACACACACACACACACACACACACACACACACACACACACACACACACACACACATATATACACACATATAAATATATATATATATATATATATATCATTCACTTATGTGTATATGTTCATACACGCTAATGACAAAAGTGTGTGCGACGGTTGGAAATTGTTTGATATACGGAACTTTTTACGTGGCATCTCAATACAGTTTGTAACATTGATAATTTCAGCTGTTCAGGCTATGAATGTTGAACGAGATCTTCACAAATGAAGAAGTGACTCGAGGCAACAGAAAATTGGTTCTTCAGAAGTTTTTATGTTTCATCATCTGTTTCCTACGATACGACAATTTCTATTTTAGATTTTATTTTTGGCAGCTTTCATTCATTCACACACACACACACACACACACACACACACACATATATATATATATATATATATAGTTAATCCTTGTTGAAAACACAACTATACTTAAACATGAAAACAATAAACAAAAACTAAAAATTCTTGAAGCTATATACATAAAACAGTTGAAACCTAACCTGAACAAAATAAACTAGGAAATCTCCACAAATATTCTTAAATGCCTATAATTGATAACAGAAGCCATTGGTTTATACCAACGGCTTCCCATAATTAATACTTCTCGTTTTCACTCTCGCGTGGTCATGTGTGACGTCACGAGCTTTGACGCAATTTTCGCTTCCGCGTCTCGAATACACTAGTTAGTCGTTGCTTTGAAATTTTTCATGCAACAAAAACAGACTATCATTATTGTTCCGTGTATTGGTTGATATATTGAAAAGTAATTGTCATCTTTGATAATAGCTTATGTAAGCCGAAAGCTTAGATTGGATTTAAACATGTATCAATATGGTGATTTCCTTTCGTCCTTCAATGGTAAGGTTATTAAGCTTATCAGACAATATGAAAGGAACTTACTTAAAATAAGTAGACAAAAATTGTCTATATTATTTAATGAAACATGCATCTATCAACTGAATCTGCTTCAAACGTCACATTTTTCCGTGATGTCATTTGTCAAGAAGAAACCTTCGTAATGACAAGTTCACTGTGAAGAATATAATCAAATCTTTCAGAGGATATGCTAATAGCATTGACTATTTGATTTATAGTTAATTGCCTGTCATCCATCACTTTGTGGTAAATGTTTTCCTCGGTGGTGGCAGTTGTAGGAAGTCCTGAACCTTGGGCCATCTTCAAGATTCTTCCTTCTCTTAAATTCAGCTTCCCACTTTTGCCCTGTTGATAAAGCAGAAGCGTCATTCTCTAATGTATCAAGCATATCAGCAAAAATGTCTTTGGGGATAAACACTTTTTCGCCAGATACTTGATAACACTATGATGCCAAATTTTGTCCATTTTCAAGAAAAGTCGCTACGAGTTACTTTTCAAATCTTCTTTGAACGGTTAGATATCAAAGAAACAATGAAATTATTAATAAGAAGAGTTGACATTAATGCATTGCAAGTTTTCATAGTTCTAGCGTCCCTCGTTCATGGTCAGCTTATGAATTTTTGCACCCCCCCTCATAGGATGGATTTGTATTTATATGTATGTATTTAAAATAACGTGAATCATATATGTGTGTATACTTATACATGTGATGCCATTATGTTACTTGTGTATAAATTACAATTAATATACATACACAGGATATATTGGAAGTTGTGTATTCAATGTGTAAATATATATATACAGAATTTCTCCTACCGAGGGGTGTTTGGTCGATTTGAATCTTTTAAAACTCTTTATTCTACATTAAGACACCAGAAGTGTTGAAACAAAATGGCTATTTTTGTAGTGATTTTATAACATATTTATATTATAATTTTCGAATAAATTATATATTTATATTATAATTTTCGAATAAATTACACACACACACACACACACACACACACACACACACACACACACACACATATATATATATATATATATATATATATATATATATATATATAAGTAAATGTTATGGGGTCCACCCCTTTTTCATACAAATGGACTCGACCAGTGTGTACTTGTACTGCTGCCGGTGAATACCCGTGAGAGATACACTGATACAGTGAGAGTGTGAGATAACCGCTTTGTAGGAGTCACAGTTGCGAGCACGTAGATTCAGAAGGAAGTCCTACATCGATACTGAATTTTCCAGACTGTATATATATTATTATTGCTACTAACCGCATTTCTGGATCTACTAACCGTATTACCAACTGTATTATTACATCAATACATCTATTTGCTATATTTCATTCCTGCGTTTGTCATTAATTTGAGACCGGATTTCATCTCGAAATCCACAACAGTAAACCTAAAGAACCAGACAAACCTACCTCTGGAGCCAGTTTACCCTGACGATCCGCGTTGGTGAAACCTAGGTAGTTTTGTTTGGCTCTTTAGGTTTTATTAGTTTGCTCTACTTAGCGTATTGAGCACTTTGCTTAGTTATTTTTACTTTACTCGTGCCGAAGGTTTTTTTTCTTTGGACTCTGAACTTTGATTCTAGACGATTATTTTCGCCGGAAGTACATGT